GAGCTGCTACATGTGGTGGTGAGTGCTCTATCTGTTACAGGTACATTCCCCAGTGAAAATATTTAAGGCTAAACTGATTATTTATTTTAACACCTTGGAGCCGCAGTCATGGCCCAGGACCCCACTGTGTTAAGTGCTGTACAAACACAGAACAAAATGACAGCCCTCCCTCCTCCCCCTCTAAGTTTAAGACAAGAAAGAACAGATGGGTATAGACAGAGCAGAGAGCACAAGGGGCGGGGGGGAAGACATTCATCCACATGATGGGCAGTGGACTCCACCCACCAGCAGCCTAACCACCATCAGTTTTATGTAGGCCTTGTGGCAGAGGTTTTTGCCAGAACTGTTTTATTTTGTAATTTAAAACCCAATGCACTAGCTGCGTAAGTACCAGGGAAATAAAAAAACCACCTGGTCAAAGCCCATTTCATACTGGCTAACCTCTTCCTGGGGGAGGAGACGACAACCTGCTTGTGGTCTTCCCTGCTACATGTGTAAGCACAACGAATGTCATCAAACTGGTGACTGAATGTCCTGAAAAGGCCTCCCAATCATCAGCCAAGAAATAGCAAAAATGGTCCCTTCCTGGTCAAACTAGAGGCTGGCCCCTCACTGCGTATAATGCAGTTACCCGTTATGGGTTTATCCAGCGCAAAATGCGACTACCTCCTGAAGATCCTACCAACAGACCCTTGTCCTTTTCTCTTGCTCCAACGCTGGGGTAGTTTAGCTGCTGACCTTTGAGTTCTACAAAGTGGTTTGTGGCCACCCTCATCTTGGCATTTATGTAGTGCTTTCCATTTGTGGATTTCAAAATACTTTACACAGCTGGGCAGGTATATTACTAGCCTTATTTGATAGGAGGACAACTAATGCACATGCATTAATGAATGGCCATCTCCTGCCTCCTAGTCCTGTGCCCAATGCCACTACTAGACCACGTTGCCCCTCAGCTCTGAGCAGCAGCTTGTGAAAATTGCAGGTCCCCACATATAGTACTCTACCTTCATCTGTGCAGAACACTTCACGCTAGCATGGATACCTCCAGACAAAAGATGAGGGCAGTTGCAATCTGTTCCATTTTTGACAACCCTGGGGTCAAAGCATCTCTCCCTTAGGCAGAGCTGGGGAATCGCTGCTCTAAAATGGAAACATCAGTGGCAGCTGACCTGCATTCAGTCCTTTCAGACAGGGCTGCAAGGTATCCTTTGAATCAGATTGAGAAAGCATAAGGGCTGGAGATGGGGCTCCAAAGAGCTGTTGCCTTCTTGCTTTTTAAAGCCTGAAGTTCAGGTCTTGAACATGGCTGGGAGATTGTGTGGTGCGGCCCAGCTGAAACCTAGGCCCTGCCCTGGGTGCTGTGTGCCAGGCCTCAACCACCACTAGCTGCCTAACCTACAGCAGCAGCTCCTCTTGAGGCCAGGGGCTGGCTGGGTCGGGGCAGTGGGATCAACCACAGGAGGGTAAGATGGGAAGCAGGGGCTCTGGGAGCATCAGGCTGGTGGGATGGGAGGTGTCAAATATTAAAACATGTTATTGTTCATCTGCTATTGAAAACAGTATGATGGTTGTTACTTCAAACACTGCCCTTGTTTAATACAGTAACTCCTCACTTAAAGTTGTCCCGGTTAACGTTGTTTCGTTGCTGATCAATTAGGGAACATGCTCATTTAAAGTTGCGCAATGCTTCCTTCTAAGGTTGTTTGGCAGATGCCTGCTTTGTCTACTGCTTGCAGGAAGAGCAGCCCGTTGCAGCTCGCTGGTGGGGGCTTGGAACCAGGGTGGACCGGCAGCCCCCTATCAGCTCCCCCATCAGCTCCCTGCTCCCCAAGTTTCCTGTGAAGCAGCTGCCTGCAGTCAGCTGTGTCCCTTCCCCACCACTGCCATGTGCTGCTCCTGCCCTCTGCCTTAGAGCTGCTCCCCGAGACTCCTTCTTGCTGTGCTGGGGAGGGAAGGAAAGGGGGGACTAATGTCAGGGTGTCCCCCTCCCCCCTGCACCTGCACCCTGCTTACCCCCATCTTCCATAGAGCAGGGCTCAGGATGGAGGGAGCTTGCTGCAGCTGTGTCTCAGCAAGCCGATCTAATTAACAAGGCAGTGTAATTAAGGGAAATGTGCATATCTCCCGCCATTCCTGCTGCCTTGCAGAGTGAGAGAGTTAACCCTTGAGGGCTCAGCCAATTGCTAGTTCATCATTTAGCAGTAAGGGAAATATCCCACCCTCTGACTCCTCCACCTCAACCAAGCTTCACAATCATCATCACTGTGTACCAATATTAAATTGTTTGTTTAAAACTTATACTGTGTATATGGTGAAAAAATTTCCCTGGAACCTAACCCCCTCATTTACATTAATTCTTATGGGGAAATTGGATTTGCTTAAAGTTGCATTTTTCAGGACCATAACTACAACATTAAGTGAGGAGTTACTGTACCTTAAAATGAAATTTCTCCCTTGTTACACTTCTTATTGCATGTGATCTCGCTGTGTATTTTAATGGGGTTTGCTATGGAAATGGTTTTTGAAAACTTTTTTCTACAATTTGTCTGTAGTGCAGTTTTATTGTATGTTTGTGATCTTGTCTCAATCTATTAAAATATATATGAAATGATAAAAATAATTAATATACTGCAGTGTTCAAAGGTGGTTCCAAGCATATCCTCCCCCGGAAAATGCATATTTGTCTAGGTTGTTATATATTTAAAGGTCTGCCCTGCGCCCATCATAGGGTTGCCAATTTCCAATCGCATAAAACAGAACACCCTAGCCCCACCCCTCCCCCAAGGCCCCCGCTACTGTTCACTACATTCCTCCTACCTTGGTGGCTGGCTCTCTTTTCTCTCTCTCCCCCCCCCTCCCTCCCCCACTCACTTTCACTGGGCTGGGGTAGGGGGTTGTGTGGGAGGGGGTGAAGGCTCCAGGTGGGGATGTGGGCTCTGGAGTGGGGCTGGGGATGAGGGGGGGGCTCTAGGATGGGGCCAAGGGAGTCAGTGTGGGAGAGGGCTGTGGGTTGTGGCAGGGGTTCAGGAGGGGGTACGGCCTCTGGGGTGGGGCTGGAGATAAGCTCAGGCTAACCTCGGGTGGCTCCCGGTCAGTGGTGCAGCGGAGCTAAGGCAGGCTTCCTGCCTGTCCCGGCACTGTGCTGTTACGCGGAAGTGGCCAGCGGGTCCAGCTCTTGGGCCGGGGGAGCCTCTGTGCGCTGCTCTTGGCCGCAGGCACTGTTCCCAATCAATGGGAGTGCGGAGCTGGTGCTTGGGGCGAGGGCAGCATAGGGAGCCCCGTGGTCCCCTCCAGCCCAGGAGCTGGCCACTTCCGAGGAACAGCATGGTGCCAGGACAGGTAGAGGCTAGCCTGTCTTAAACCTGCAGCACCACCAACCAGACTTTTAATGGCCTGGTCGGTGGTGCTGACCAGAGCTGCCAGGACACCTGTTAAAAACCAGACACCTAATCCCCTAGCCCATCACCTTGCCACCTAGACACTGTACATTCCTAAACATTTCATCCATGATCCTGCAAGCACTTATGACCACATGTATCTTTATTACTGAGGGTACTGGACTACTTACAATAGCGAGGTTAAGCACATGCATAATAGCAGGATCTGGGCCTTATGTGACAGTAGCACGGAGAGGCCTAACATGGTGCTAAGCATTGTGCAAAAGAGGATAAAGTCCCTCCCCCAAACAG